AAAAAAAAATATTTGGTAGATGAAATTCATGGGTAGACAGAAAGATTTTTTTTTTTTTTTTTAGATGGTAGAGTAGATAGAAGATTTTTTATTTTAGCAGGTAGAGCTCGTAAGGAGATAACAGGAAAATTTAGTAGATAGATTAAAGTCAGGAGTAGATAGAAGGAAAATTTCAGTAGGTAGATAAAGGCCATGCTAATAGGGAGAAAATAGTAGGTAGATAAAACCCATAAATAAATTGTAAAAAAGAGAGTAAAAAGTAGATACTAAGAAAATGATAAAGAAAAAGTAAATATTATGAAAATAGAAAATAAAATAAGGAAATAACAGAAAGACAAAATATCAGAAAAAAAACACTAGAAGGCATTAAAAAAAAAAAAAAAAAAAAAAAAAAAAAAAACAGTAGATAATACCCATAAAATATAGAAAACAGTAGATAGCAGATAATACCCAAAAAACAGATATCAGAAAACGGTAGATAGTAGATAACACAAAAAAAACAGATAACAGGCAAAAGTAGACAGTAGATAACACGCAAATAGTACGCTGGAGATACCAAAACGTAGAATAGCTGACACGACCCTCAGCTAAGTTGAAGGAAGGTCGTTTATCATAGTTAAATGTAATTAATGACTGCTGACTCTCACCCTCCTCCCTCCCTCCCTCCCTCCCTCACGCCCCTCACGCCCCTCACGCCCCCTCCCCCCCCCCTTAATTCTCACACTCTTGACTCCTCCCTACGTTTTCTACCCTAATTCGTTCTCTTGTTACCCTTATGTTGTTGTTGTTGTTTTTAGTTTTTGTTTGTATTTGTTTCTGTTGTTTTTTTTTTAGTGTTATTGTTGTTTTATTTTTTCTTAAACTCTATCCGGCATTGGTTTTGTTTTAAGCTTTTTTTTTCTCTTCGTTTTTCTTCTTATTGTCTGTTGTTTGCTATTTTCTTCTCCCTTCCTCCGTCTTTTTTTCAACTTATTTTCTGTTTTTGCTTCTTCCTCTTCTTGGTCATCAAATTTATAATCATTCGTCTTCTTTTCTATCTCTTCTTCTTGTTTTCTTTTTCTTAGTCTTGTACTTTTTTCCGTCTTTTATATATTTTTCTTGCCTGTTGCCTCTTTTTCTTCTTCTTTCTCTCATCCACTTTTTTCTTATTATTACTATTTTTCTCCTCATCATCCTTCTCGTGTCTTTCCCTCTCTTTTATCTTCTACATCTATTTTAATTCTTTTTTTTTTTTCTTCTATTACTTTCTTTTGTAGTTTATTCATTTACGTTTTCTTCTTCTCTCTTATTCCACTACCGCTGCTTCTTCTTCCTTTTTCGCCTCCCTCTTTCTTCTTCTTCCTTCTCGCCTTCTTCTTCTTCTCCTCCTCCTTCTTCTTCTTCTTCTTCTTCTTCTTCTTCTTCTCCTCCTCCTCCTCCTCCTCCTCCTCCTCCTCCTCTTCTCCTCCTCCTCCTCCTCCTCTTCCTCTTCCTCCTCCTCCTCCTCTTCTTCTTCTTCTTCTCCTCCTCCTCCTCCTCCTCCTCCTCCTCCTCCTCCTCCTCCTCCTCCTCCTCCTCCTCCTCTTCTCCTCCTCCTCCTCCTTCTTCCTTCTCTCTCCTTCACTTTCTCCTTCTACCTCCCTTTCTTCTTATCCTCCCTCCTTCCTTACTCGTCCAAAGGCTGACGGCCTGTTGTTTTAGCGCTGACGTTAATATTTTATGGCTGACGCCCTTCCTCCTGTCTTCCCTTCCTCCCCCCTCCCCCCCTCCGTCTTTTTTTTTGTCTTTTTGTCTTTCTTTTTTTTTCTTAGGTCAGACGACGCCAGTTTGTCGCCAATGGGGCAGAGGTGTTCCTATGTTTGTTTGTTTTTGTTTTTGTTTTTGTTTTTTTTTTCTGTGAGAATAACACCGACTTTTTTTGGGGGGACGGGGGAATGGGGAGGTGGGGGGGTGTTATTGTTGTTGTTTTTGTTGTTGTTGTTGTTGTTTTCTTGTTTTCTTGTCCGGGGGAATGCTGTTAATGATGATGCAGTAATTATCCTGGTCTCATTTCATTGTTGTGAATGCTTTTGTTACGTATGAGACGTACTTATAATATAATTACTTTTTATTGTTCTTTAGTTTAATTGAGATGGAAATGATCCGCGACTTTAAAAAAAGAAAGAAAGAGAATGAAATAGTTTTTAAAAAATGAAAAGTAGATACGAAAGTGAAGAAAAGAAATTTAGAATGAATAAAAACGAAAAAAAAAATCAGACCACCTCCCTCAGAACACTTCACACAATGCTTTCACAGTCGTATTCGCCGAGTGTATTATCCTCAAAGGAAAATTGCTTCCGGTTGAGTAGGTAAACATATCGGATAAAAATTTCACACGATTTTGTCTCCTCTTCCTTCCCTTCTTCTTCTTTTCTCGTTTTTTCTTCTTCTTTTTCCCACAGTTTCCTAATATTGTCAAGGTCGCTTCTAGGCTCCATCGTCGCGTGCCAATCTCGACGCTATGTCTCCCTGGCATAAAGACTATTTCGAAGACGGAGGGTTTTTAGCACGCAATAATTTTTCTACGCGAAATAACACACTTGTCAACTCTGCTTCGAGGAGTTGCCAGATGTTATTAAATTAACAACTTTTTTCCTTTTTTATTTTATTTTTTTATTTATCTTTTTTTTTTTTTTTTTTTTTTTTTTTGCAATATTCCCTTGTTAATATTTCAGCATAGGTTGTACGTGATGCACATGATGTAATTACGAGCAGGTTGACTTTATTACGTTATTGCAATGAAACCCCGTCGATGGAGATCAAAGACTCTTCATATTAATTCAATAAAAGGAGGTAATTAAGCTTTTAAAACCCAATTCAATAACAAACTTTGGTCCTACGATACAACGTTACGAAGGGAAAGACTGATTACATCCCTTCGTTGTTTACGGAACGTTATCGAAACAACAAAGGAAAACCCGAGATCGCTAAGCTTGTACATCGAAGAGTAAATAGGTAAGATGGAGGATTAAAAAAAAAAAAAAAGCTTATTCAACTGATGTTCCTTTTGAGCGTGGGGGGGGGAGGGGGGTGAGACGGATTTGTGTTGCTGTGTTTGATCGCCTGATGATATAAACGTTTGCTGAATATTCCACTGAGAACTAGCTTTCGGTGTGTTTCTCTTTCCTGTCTGTTTGTTTGCCTGTCTGTCTCTTTGTCTCTCGTTTCCTCCTCTTCTCTCCATGTTCTTTTCTCTTCCTTTTCTCTCTTTCATTATCGTATTTCTTGCTCCATGTTCATCTCTTTCTTTCTCTGTCCCTACACCCTATTTCTCTCTCTATCTCTATCTATCTACCTATTTATCTATCTACCTATGTATCCATCCGTCTGTTTATATATCTATTTGTCTGTCTACCAATTATGTTTTATCATTCATTCCCTCTTTATCTGTTCATAAATATCCTCCTATCAGACCTGAAAAAAATGCAGACAAAAATTCTGACACAATTAATAGGCACCAAACAATATCAAAAGCATTCTAACGGCAGAGCCACTAGTTAATCTGTACTGAAGGCAGAAAATCCGGTAACTAGTGGTTTCCTACAATATACTGTCCAGACCTTTAAAAACGGATATGAAGGTGTCATTTATAAGGATACCGTGTTGGCGTATTTGCATTTCTGCCAGAGCCAAGGTCGGTTGCTTTGCTTTTTCGAAGTAATGTCAAGCACTACATAGGAATATTTGTGTCGGCTTTGGCGTTATCCAAAAATATGTACGTGCGTGCATATATATTTACATGTATTCACAGATACATACATACATGCACATGCATAGATTCATACGCACATACTTATGTAGATAGAAGCAGTGAGAGAGATAGATGCAGACAGAGGCAGAGGGAGAAGGAGGGAAAGACAGAGACAGAGAGAGAATGAGGGAGAGGTAGAGCCAGAGAGAGGGAGGGAGAGACGGAGGATAGAGAGAGAGAGAGGGAGGGAGGGAGAGACAGAGGATAAAGAGAGAGAGGGAAGGAGAGACAGAAACAGAGAGAGGGAGGGAGAGACAGAGACAGAGAGAGGGAGGGAGAAACAGAGACAGACAGGGAGGGAGAGACAGAAACAGAGACAAAGAGAAACACAATCCCACGAGGATCCTACAGCAGAATACCATCAAATCCCTTCATTGTCCCTTAATGAAAGTGAGAGACACTGCACCATTTCTCTCGCACCCAACATGAACAACACAAGATATATATAAGAAAGTAACCACACCACATGACAGCATAAGTACATTTTCGGAATATAGGAGATGAACACAGATAGATAATAGTCTTAAGCAGCAAGTTATTATGCTAATCACGGCATGCGAAGATTACCGATATGTTATTCATTAAACGTACGAAACAGCCCACGAGGTAATGGTAAAGTCATGTTCTTACTTCAGGCTGAAATTTTCCCCGTCTCTTCATGGTAAGTTTTCATCGATAAGTTTTGAAAGTCATTTGCTGTGAATGTATTAGCTCGAATGATAAGGTATGTTGTGTGGGTGGGATTTTTTTTTTACCTTCAAAATGGAGGAATTGTTGAAATATATTTGTTTGTTTTTTTTCTTCTTCTTTTTTGGTGTGGGTGTTTTTTTTTCTTCTTTTTTTGGTGTGTTTGTGTTTTTTTGTTTTTTTTTGTCAGCTGTATCGGAGTTCATTGACTTGACTTGAATGTGTAAAAATTATTTCCAAAAAAGCTTTACTTCATTGTAACGAAATTATATTTCCTTTGTGTATCCTAATAGATTTTTCTTTCTCCTCCCTCACTCCTGTCCTCCCCCCCTCTCTCTTTCCCTCCATTCCACTCTCCCTCCCTCTCTTCCTTCCCTCCCTCCCTCCCTCCCTCCTTCCCTCCCTCCCTCCCTCCCTCCCTCCCTCCTTCCTTCCCCCACCACCCTCCCTCCCCCTAACCTCCTTATCCCCTTCACTCCCCCCCCTCAAATCTTTTTCCCTCCCTCCCTCCACCTCCACCCTCTCTCCCTCTCCCCCCCACAAGGTCGAGGAGGAGGTTGATGTCGACGTGACCCGCTCCACCTTGCACCTGGTTTCGAGGGCGAGCGATGACGGATCCACACTCACCTGTCGAGCCGCTAGTCCCCGCTTGCCCGAGTCGCCGCTAGAGGACTCTGTCACGCTCTCGGTTTTGTGTGAGTATCTCTTCGCATTTTATTTGTTGTTGTTGTTGTTGCTGTTGTCTTATCTTATCTTCTTTCTTATATTCTTATCTTTTCTTATTTTTTGTGTTTTGCATCTACGAGCGAGGTAAAAATGTCGGTGAGGATAAAGTGAGATTCGGTTGTGATAAGATGTGGTGTGGTAGATAAACCGGTTGATTAAATAAATTAACCTCTCTCTCTCTCTATCTATCTATCTTTCTCTCTCTCTCTCTCTCTCTCTATCTATCTATCTATTTATCTCTCTCTCTCTCTCTCTCTCTCTCTCTCTCTCTCTCTCTCTCTCTCTCTCTCTCTCTCTCTCTCTCTCTCTCTCTCTCTCTCTCTCTCTCTTACCCACACTCACTCTCTCTCCTTCTCTCATCATCTCTCTCTCTCTCTCTCTCTCTCCCTCTTACCCACTCACATTCTCTCTCCATCTCTCACCATCATCTCTCTCTCCTCCCTCCAGACAAGCCGCAGATGACGCTAGAACTCGGGAACAACGAAGAACTGGAGAACATGGAGGAAGGCGATAACGTGGTGTTCAAGTGCATCGTTAAAGCGAATCCGCCGGTGAACGGAGTGCAATGGGCTCATGATGTGAGTAGGGGGGGAGGGGGAGAGGGGGAAGAGGGAGGGGGAGGGATAGGGGGAAGAATGGGAGGGGGAGGGGGAGGGAAGGGGAGGAATGTGAGTAGGGAAGGGGAAGAGGAGGGTAGGGGGGAGTAGGGAGAGGGAAGGGGAGGAGGGAGTGGGTGGGGATGGAAGGGGAGGAGGAGGGAGGGAGGGGAGGGGGAGAGGAGGAAGGAGGGGGTGGGGAGGGAAGGGGAGGAGGAGGGAGGGAGGGGGAGGGGAGGGGAGGGAAGGGGAGGAGGAGGAGGGAGGGGAGAGGGAGAGGAGGAAGGAAGGAGGGGGTGGGGAGGGAAGGGGAGGAGGAGGGAGGGAGGGGGAGGGGAGGGGAGGGAAGGGGAGGAGGAGGGATGGGAAGGGGATGGAGGAGGGAGGGAGGGGGAGGGGAGGGGAGGGGAGGGAAGGGGAGGAGGAGGGATGGGAAGGGGATGGAGGAGGGAGGGAGGGGGAGGGGAGGGGAGGGGAGGGAAGGGGAGGAGGAGGGATGGGAAGGGGATGGAGGAGGGAGGGAGGGGGAGGGGAGGGAAGGGGAGGAGGAGGGATGGGAAGGGGATGGAGGAGGGAAGGGGGAAAGGGGGAAGAATGGAAGGGAGAGGGATGGGAAAGGGGGTGGAGAGGACGAAGAAGGAAGGGGGAGGGATGGGAAGGGGAAAAGAAGGAAAACAGGGAAAGGCGGGGAGAAATGGGAGGAAAGGAAAGGGGAGGGAGAAGAAGAGAAGAGAAGGGAGTTAGTGGGTAGGAGAGAATACAGGAATTGATCAGAATAATTACAATCATAAGATGATAATAATGTTGCTGATGATAATGACAATAATGATAATAATCGTCATCATCATCATCAATCCAGACCATCACTATACCATCAACCCACAATCACCATACCACAAAAATAATAAAAAACATAATCATACAAAAAAAACATAACAATAACCATCATAAAAATTTAAAAAAAAAATATATATATATAACAATAACCATAATACAAATAATAAAAAAAAAAAACATAACAATAACCATAATACAAATAATAATAAAAAAAACATAACAATAACCATAAAAATAATAATTAAAAAAAAACAATAAATAAATAAAAAGCATAATCAAAAACCCCCTCTTTTCCCCCAAGGGCGTCCCCCTCAAGAGCAACGCGTCCCTGGGCATCGACGTCAGCAGAGCATCCCTCGTCCTCAGGAACATCAGCAGGACGTCGTCAGGAGTTTACACTTGCGCGGCGGCCAACACGGAGGGAGCCACCACCTCGTCGGCGCTCCAGTTGGGGGTCAAGTGTGAGTTCGAGGGTGACGTCTGTGTGTGTGTCTCTTTTGTATCTTGAGTATTTTCTTGGTTTTGCTTTTGTTTGTTTGTAACTTACTTTATTGCTTTTGTTTGTTTGTAACTTACTTCATTGCTTTTGTTTGTTTGTAACTTACTTTCTTTTGTTTGTTTGTAATTCACTTTCTTTCTTTTGTTTGTTTGTAACTTTCTTTCTTTTGTTTGTAATTCACTTTCTTTATTTTGTTTGTTTGTAATTCACTTTCTTTATTTTGTTTGTTTGTAACTTACTTTCTTTTCTTTTGTTTGTTTGTAATTCACTTTCTTTATTTTGTTTGTTTGTAACTTACTTTCTTTCTTTTGTTTGTTTGTAATTTACTCTCTTTCTTTTGTTTGTTTGTAACTTTCTTGTTTTTTTCTTTCTTTGGTTTGTATCTTACTTTCTTGCTTTTATTTTGCTTGTATCTTATTTTCTTGTTTTTTCTTTCTTTTATTTGATTTTATCTTGATTACTTCCTTGGTTCTGCTTTGGTTTGTCGTGTAGTTTGTTTTATTTTTGCTTTTGTTTGTTTGTATCGTACTTTCTTTTTTGTTTTTTTCTATCTTTTGTTTGTTTGTATCTTTCTTTCTTTGTTTTGTTTGTTACTTTCTTTCTTTCTTGTTTTTTCTTTCTTTTGTTTGTATCTTTGTTTTTTTATCTTTCTTTCTTGTTTTTTCTTGTTTTTTTCTTGTGTCTCTAAAGAATAAGTAAGAGAAAAGAGTGAGAGAAAGAAACAGGAGAAAAAAATAATAATAAAAATAATAATAATAATAATAATAATAATAATAATAATAATAATAATAATAATAATAACTAATCATAACAATAAAATTTATTACCATCCTAATCATCATCCTCTCGTCCCCCTCCCCCTCCCCTCCCCCTCCCCCCCTCTCCCCCCACAGTCCCCCCCACATGCGCTCAGGGCCAGCACGCGGTGTACGGAGCAGCGAGACACGAGGAGTTGCAAGTGCCATGCCACGTGCACGCCCACCCCGTCCCGTCGATGTTCAGGTAGTGTGTCTTTTTTATTGTTATTATTATTGTTATCGACAATTTTAGTAGTGTAGTAGTGGTAGCGGTGATAGTAGTAGTAGTAGTAGTGGTGGTGGTAGCAGTAGTAGTAGTAGTTGTAGTGTTTGTGGTAGTAGTAGTAATAGTAGCAGTGTTTGTAGTAGTAGTGGTACTGGTAGCAGTAGTAGTAGTAGTAGAGTGTTTGTTGCAGTAGTAGAAATAGTAGTAGTGGTAATGTCTGTAGTAGTGGTAGCAGTAGTAGTAGTAGAAGGAGTAGTAGTAGTAGGAGTAGTAATAGCAGAAGTAGTAGCAGTAGTAAAAGTAATTGTAGAAGTTGTGGTTGTAGTAGTTGTTGTTGTTTTTGTTGTTGTAGCAGTATCATCACTTATCATTATTATTGTTACTATTGTTAATGTTGTTGTTGATTTTTTTTTCCTTGTTGTTGATTTTTTTTCTTGTCGTTATTAATACTGTCATCATTAACACAAGTAGTAGTAGCAGCAGTAGAGGTATCATCGCTATCATTATTATCATTATCATTGTTGTCAGTCGTAGTTGTAATATCTTTCTCTTTCAGTGTAATGTAATCTTCATCTTTCTTTTCTTTTTTTCTCCCTCTTCTTTTTCTTTTTTCATCTTCTTTATCTCCTCATTCTCCTGATTTTAATATTACCGTTATCTACATCATTAAATTCTTATCAGGATTTGTACCTTCTCACTCCTATTAATCTTTATCCATTCCCTTGTTGTTGTTTTTTTCTGCATTCTAATTCCTCATTTTCTTTCCTCTCCTCTTTCGTTAAAAGACGGAAAGAAGCAACACCAAGAAAATGAAAACTTTTGTCCTCGTGTAATTTCATTTCAAGATGGCGGCACGTATTTTTTTTTTTTTTTTTTTTTTTTTTTTTCTTCCGTCTTGGAGAAAGTGAGGAAACTTGATGAATATTTCGTTTAATCTCGTTGTGTAAATGAATCAACCCTTAAACGAGGCAGTGGATATACAGGTACAGGTGAGATGTTAAGAGATACAGGTACAATAAAGTTGATGAGGGTACGGACATATATTTTTTTTTTCCCCAGAGGTGTTACAGAAACAGGTACAGGGACTGAATTCTTATCAGCCATTTGAGGATACGCGAACAAGAGGGCTGCCTTGTAGAGATAAGGAGAAAGTCTTACGTAACGAGTCGCACAGAGAGTTTTGTTTGTTTTTCATTTATTTGATTATTTAGTTGTTTATTTGTTTTATTCAAGTTCATGTATTCTTTCATTCATTCATTCGTGCAATTAAGTTATATTTTGTATTTAATTCTCTGTTTATTTGTTTATTTTCTTGTTTGTTTATCTATTATCTTTTTTTGGAGAGAAAGTGGTGGATGAATATAGAAAAATAAAAAAAATGAAAAAAAAGGAATATCCTTCTCTTCTTTAGACAAAGAAGGGAGGGTGAAGGGGGAGGAGGGGAAAGGAAAGGAAAGAAGGGAAGACGAAACACGAAACACCGCAAAGAAAAATAACACACAAAAAAACAACAACTCACACTTCCCCTTTCTACGCCCCCTTCCAAACAGATGGGCGGTGAACACCTCCACCGGCGTCGTGGACGTGGCCCTCAACCTCTCCAGCAGCAGCGGCAGGATCAGCGTCGTGAGGTACACCCCGCAGACGCACCACGACTTCGGGGAACTCCTGTGCTGGGCGGTGAACGACGTCGGCCGCCAGAGGGAGCCTTGCGTGTTCAATGTCGTACCTGCGGGTGAGTTGGGGGGTTGAGGTTGGGGGGTGGGGGGGGAGGGGGGAGGTATGTGTGTGGGTAGCTGTATGTATGTGTGTGTGTGTGTGTGTGTGTGTGTGTAAGCAGGTGTATGTATGTTTGTATGTATGTGTGTGTGTGTGTGTGTGTGTGTGTGTGTTTTCGTTTGTGTTGTAAGATAAAAGAAGCGAAGCAGGTAAGACGTAGGAAAATACAAAAGGAGAAGAGAAAATGGGAAGAAACCAAATAATGATGATAATAAATGAAAACAAGCAGACGTACATTCTCCCAGACAGACAGAGACAGACAGACAATACATGTTCTAATGACCAAACACGGCTTTTTGTAACCGCACGTGGCTTCAGAAGGCCAGTCCCTGTCATTGTTAGATGTCAAAGATAAGTGATTGTCAAGAGTTCATGACAGGTGACTGGAGGTGAATCCTAATAGATCTAAGCGAATCCAGGTGAGTCATCCCCCCCTCCCCCACCCCACGAACACACATACCCCGTACCCCCACACCCCACCCGGAGCTTTCCCTAACAATCTATCACAGACAAAACAAACAAGCTGTCCCGTCGTTAAGCTCATCTATTTTTTTTGCACACCTAGCTTCCAGCCTCGCCTTTCCCTTGGCAGAACTCACTCCCAATCTCATTCCCAATCTCAGACCTAACTCAGTCACAGCAGCCCTCACAAACAGCCACTGAATTAACGTCAGTGTCTCGGAAATAATGTGAAAGAGTTACTTGTTATACGGTGGGTATCGTAACATTACGTCTTTGTAGACAATAAAATTTCGTAATAATAAATACATATATATATATCTATCTATATATATATTCACATATGTATATATTTATGTAGATACATACGAATATAAATATAAAATAAAAGCAAAACACTGCCACCACCACTGACCCAGCCCCCCCCCCCCTCTCTCGCGCTTCCCTCCTGCAGCCAAACCCGAGGCGGTGTCGTCGTGCGAGGCGGAGCGGAACTCCTCGATGCCGGCGACTTACGTGGTGCTGTCGTGTCTGCCAGGCTGGGACGGGGGCCTCGAGCAGACCTTTAACCTCGAGGTGCGACAGGCGGCCAAGGAGGAGCTGCTGGAGGAGTTCAGTCACGCTCCGGAGCCTTTCTTCATTATTACGGGGTGAGAGGAGAAAAGATTAGGTGTTTTGTTTGTTTAGATTGTTTGTTTGTTTGTTTTTTTGGAAATTCTTTGTTGTTGTGTTAGATGGTACGATATGAACATTCGTACTAGCTAAAAAAAAAAAAAATGAGACTCATGTTTTCCCTTTAATACAAGCGTTCGCGTTAACAAACGTTCTCTCTTTAAGATTAAGACTCATAGTTACAAACGTTTTCCCTACAAAATAACCCCCTTTAGTATTAGTTTTCACATCAAACAAATAATTTCCCTTTAACATTAACATCCGCACTAAGTCAAGTCCTCCATCTAACACTAAACTTTTCTCCATATAACGTTAATATTCACAACAAATAGACATATTTCCCTTTCACATTCACAAACAGCATCCCGTTAATAAGCATCCCTCACAGTAACGTTTGTCCAAATGAGTTTTAATTTTTAAAGAGAGAACGTTTGCTAATGGGAATGTTTGTGTAAAGCCCTTTCGAAAGCATCGCTCGCGTTAACACTGCTTCTCACTTCTTCCCTCTTCCTTCTCTTTTCATCCCCTTGTCTCTCCCCTCATCCCACCCCTCTTATCTCCCCTCTCCTTACCCCTCTTCCCTTCCCACTTCTCCACTCTCCCCTCCCCTCCCCTCTTCCCTCCCCCTTCTTCCCTCCCCTCTTCTCCCCTCTTCCCCCTCCTCTTCCCTACCCCCTTCTTCCCTCTTCCCTCCCCTCCCCTCCCCTCTTCCCTCCCCTTCTTCCCTCCCCTCTTCTCCCCTTTCCCACCAATCTTCCCTCCCCTCTTCCCTCCCCTCCCTTCCCCTTCTTCCCTCCCCTCCCCTCCCCTTCCCCTCTTCCCTCCCCCCTCTTCCCTCCCTTCTCCCCTCCTTCCTCCCCTCCCCTCTTCCTTCCCCTCTCCCCCCCCCCCTCCTTCGCCCACAGCCTGAAAGTGGACGTCCCGTACCTGATGACGGTGACGGCGGCCAACAGTCGCGGAACCAGCCCACCGATCACCATCTCCTACACCGCCCCGTCCGCCTCCGCCCACAAAGTCGTCTCCTCGCACGCCCACAACACGCTCCTGTCCATCACGCCCTTCGTGGTGCTCCTGATAGGCGTGATCGCGGCGGTGTCGACGTGCGTGGGCGTGGGCGTGATGGTGGCGAAGAGGAACAGACGAAGGAAAAGTGGCGCCGAGATTCTGTACGCCGGGCCCCTCAAGGACGTGCATGACAGTCATGACGTGCACACCATCGTCTGCGTCAACCACGGTAATGTCGATGGGCCGTTGCGCTTCTTATGATTATTAACTATTTTCCTTATTTCCTATTTTTATTTTTATTCTCTTTCTTCTCCTTATTCTGTTTGTTTTTTATTGTTTTATTCTTATCCTTATTCTTGTTTGTTTTTCTATTATTTTATTCTTATTCTTATTTTTTTCTCCTCCTTATTCTTGTTTTCTTTTATTATTTTATATATATTTCTACTCT